CCCGCCGTCCGGCACCCTCGCCCCGCCGACGTATTCGCCTCCGCCTCCGGCGACTGCACCCTACGCGTCTGGGACGTGCGTGAGCCTGGCTCCACCATGATCATCCCCGCTCACGAGCTCGAGATCCTCGCGTGCGATTGGAACAAGTACGACGACTGCTGCATCGCCACGGCCTCCGTCGACAAGTCTATCAAAGTTTGGGACGTGAGGAGCATTAGGGTTCCGATCTCGGTGCTCAATGGCCACAGCTACGCGGTGAGGAAAATCAAGTTCTCGCCGCACAGGCAGAGCTTGATGATGTCGTGCTCATACGACATGTCGGTTTGCTTGTGGGATTATATGGTGGAGGACGCGCTGGTAGCTCGGTACGACCATCACACCGAGTTCGCGGTTGGTGTGGATATGAGTGTTCTTGTGGAGGGGCTTCTGGCAAGTACTGGCTGGGATGAGCTTGCGTACGTTTGGCAGCACGGGACCGACCCCAGAGCGCCTTAAAAGGGTAGTTTCTGATTTTCTTGTGATAGTTTTTGAATTGTGAATTTTGTGATTGCTCCAATGCTGCTGTTACTGAATCATAATCCCTTTGATCTTGTACAGAAGATTTAATAAACAAGAAGCTTTCTCTTTTTGTTCTTTGGCTTGTTTGATGGGAATGAGATTGCCTATTTGTATTCTCTGTCTTTCTATGTTTGCTTGATAAAATTCAGAGCCTCAATTAGTTAATAGCACTGCTTTTTTTCATTATGGTTCTTGCTATTCTGGGATGATCATTATTTGTGCTTAGTGTTACATGAGACAATCACTTGATTTCTTCAGCAAGATGGAAATGATAGAGACGTTGCAATTAGTACTCACGGTGGATTGCAGGAGAAAACCATGGGTGGCATTTGTATGGATTATGGTTTGCCATCTGATTATGCCAGTTCCTAGTTTCTCTATACGCCTATTATTGATGCTCGACTTACATGCTCTCTTATGATTTGGTATTTCCGATTTGGTTTCCATGTACACAGTTAACACTATCTGTTTAGACTATGTTTGTTGCTTGAAGGTGAAGCTGTTGGTTATTCACTAGAAATGTTAAGGTATGCAAAGGTTTTGAAAGTCTTTAATGGCCTTATCAGTAGAAATGGACTCGCTAAGTGTGCTTGTGCGTGCGCAAGAGAAGCAGGGTATAAGTTCTAGAGTTTTAGTGGATGTACTTGTAGGACCAAAAAATGGTTATGCTATTTGGATTTATAACATTTAGTGCGTTCTTGGATGCATATAGGATTCTGCAGAGTAAAAGTGCTTACCCTGCTATTGAGATGCAACATTTCAGCGTCTCATAGAAATTTTGATGTAGGATGAAAAGCTAGGAAAGAAAATGACACTAAGAACTTGAAACAGTGACTTGATCTCAGCACCCCAACCTATTAATTGGATTTATGGTTTTATTTCTGTGGTTTCTTTTTCAAGTAAAGCATCAACTACATTTTCTTCACCTATTCAATTCTACTTTTGTCCTGCATTACAGTTTGGGCAATCAGTTGGATTTGTTCCTAGCATGGGAGTGCACTATACGGTCACTGTGAAACCTTCCCAGCAAACTGGGTAGTCAATAAACTTATTAGCCGGAGTCCGGAAAGCAGGTAGAGCAAAAAATGTGCGTTTGATCTCGACACCAGAAAGAAGCCAAGTTTCCATTTTCTGTTTGGTGAGTGATCATACCTTTCCCAAATTTGTAATTTGAAATAGGATTAATTCACATAAAATGGAGATCAGAAGTGTAGACTTTTTGTTTGATGAACTTTTTTGGGGGGGGGGGGGGGGGGGGGGGGGGGTGGGTGGGGACAGGGCGGGGGCTTTGGGTGAGCA